GTGAGAGAGAGAGGGAAAACGGGTTTCTAATAATTTACCACACCCGTGAATGATAAAATAGAATTATGATTTTCCCATGGATAATTCGATTTGTTATTATCTTGTTATCTAGTTTTTATCATTTTTAATAATAATAATAACTATTACCGTTTAATGGATAACAACAATTATTGTACTTTTCCTTTTCTCAGTGTTTGGCTAAATTATATAATCTCTCTAGTATTCAATATCGATCCGGCTAACGCAAAACCCCATTTTCGATTAAATACATAAAAGACATTTTTTTTTTCTTATGTTTTTTTTTACCAGAAATAACAGATTTACCGGTCGGTCTTATTAAAAACGGACCAGAAGCAACAGGGTCATATTTTTACATATCGTTTATTTCGTATGTAAATTAAATAAATAGTTTCTTTTTCTTTTCCGCCGCCGACCGTTTTAGATGAATATTTAAATACCAGATAACATTACGGGCACGTCTGCGTGTACAGCCAGCATGTACATTACACAATATACATATATAGACGGAGGTTTTTATAATAGGAATACACACACACACACACACACACACGCTATCGACGTTTAAAATCCCATCAACCCATTATTGTCGTATTGTTTTGGATCGATGAACTCCGCCGCTGCCGACAACACATACTGACAATCCGAACACTAAACTTTGGCCCTCGGCGCACTCGAGGAAAGTATAAAATCACAGCTTTATGTTTGTCTTAAGATTTCTGGCCGTTATACCATCATAGTATTATTATACCGTACGCATTTCGGATTATGCTTGACCTATATAAATGGATAAGTCTCGACCTTTTTTTTTATTTGATTTTTGTCTTTGTTTTTGTTGACGACGCCTTGCATTTATTATGTGATAGGTATAGACGTCTCCGAACGACCTAAGGGGTCGTCACACGTGTTGCGGTTCTCAAGCCCGCCAATTGTGTAAAATGACAATAACGTTGTATATAATTTACTGTATTAACTCGCACACAAACATTTCCTGTGTCAACGTTAGAGAGTGCATATATATGTTGCGATTTACTAATTACAAAATAGCCACAATCATATGTTATATCATTTAATTTTCATAAATCGTTGGAAATACTCGCGATCTTCAATTTACCAACAAATCATATTATGGTTGTAGTATTGTAAGATATGTAAGTGACCTACATATATTATTTTTGCTTATTACAATAATACAACAAAAATAGTTTACTAAATTAATTATAACTGTCCAATAATAACTCATGGCAGTTGATACGTTAAGTGAAATAAGTAAAACGCGTATTTATTTTGTATTCACGTACACTAAATCAGCAGTCTGTGATATGAAATATTATTTTTAATGCGTTGCAAATAAGTATATTTTTTATTTTTAAGTTTTTAGTTGTATTAAATCAGTTAGTTTTGTTTTTAATGTAAATCAACTCTTAAATCGCGATGCATAAAATTAAGATTATAAACGAATACCTATCGCATATAATTTACTGCATGCTCATCTTTAAATTGAGAGCAGTTCTAGGACTTTGAGACCTGGAACTAATGATAAAACCGAAGATATCCGACGTCGTTATTTAAAAATTACATATTATAATTCCCTTTTACGCGTTATCGTTGACAAATGTCCAACGCCAATTAGTGTTTTGTGTTTTTCGAGAACATCTATACTAAGCTCCTCTCCTCTAGCTTACATTGTGACAATACTTACTATAAATCCTGGCGAAGGAGTTCCTCTCTTGTCTCTGACGATGGACGTCAATGATCTAATTGAAATATTTTACATTCAACTCGACGTCGTCGTCCTCATAATACTTCAACAACAATACCGGCGGTCGTAAATTTTCGGTATTTTTTTTTTTAATACCTTCTTTTTCCGTCTCGTTATTTTGCGACCAAACCGACGGGAAAAAAACACCTCGGCCCTATATAGTCTAATCTGACGGGCAATCGTATTTTCGGCGGCGACGCGGTTATTTTATATTTATTATTATTATTATATTTTTTTATGACATTCCCGCACATGGTTGGCACATGACGGGGGCTCGTTAACCGCACGAAACTCGTCCATAAATCGCCAATGGACCGGCCGCGTCGCCGGTTTGGCATCTCAACTAGTTTAATATATGATATTATAACGTTATGTATAACACAGTTCCTCCGACCGGTAGACGTAACTCGATAGCTGTAGTCGGGTCGAACCGCGGTGACGTTAATTTTCAAAATCCGAAAACGCCTAGGATATTATAGTGTACTCTCACGGACCTCCGCGCCCGTGTATCCGCGCCGAGGCGATTTAAACGCGGTCGGATTTATTCGGCGAGATGATCAAGTAGAAATGTAACGTCTTGTAAATTGTAACAGACGAACCGCGGCGCTTATCACACCCAAACGATCGGATCGCACACCGAAAAAACAGCGACCGGTCGGCCGAGAAAACGTTCTCTTCGGATTTTGTACGGCACGGCGTTTACCGGTTTTAAACGGTCGAGTAGCATAATAAATTACCTCCCGAACTCGGAACTACACACCAAAATTAACTCGTCAAGTATCTATAGATAAAACAATATTATTAGTAGCAAAAACGAAAAAATCAAAATTAAATTTTTAGTTTTTACTTATAATTCAACCCGCCGCAATGGAAATATTATAAGTAAAAGCAATTTAATATACACCGTATTGAGGACGCGAGGACACCTGCGGCGTCACAGAATTACCGTGAAAAACGTACAAAAAAAAAAACACATTAATCCCGCTCGGCTACTTTCGAATTCATTTTTTAAGTCTTGTCCGTCGTACTGCAATATATATACGCATATATGTTCGAACAATTATATATAAAAAAAAAAATAATAATAATAAAAATACTCACTTCAAAAGTATCCCGTACCGTATCGAATTCGTCAAACCTAAGATGTCTAATAGAAACATAGTACACACTTCCTCAGGCATGCGCGGTACATCCTGTACGAGGATAATAATGTAAAATTGATTAAAAATTTACATGTAAAATTTCAAAAAATTATCTAAAGCTATTTTTACATCCTGTCTGTTTTTAAACCGCGACCAAGATTGACAATTTATGTTTATAATAACCAAAAACCTTCCCAATAACCTCTCAGTCTTAACCGTTAGAAAAATGTCAAAATTCGTGTTTGGTATACTTACAAATGATTATTTTCCAGAGAAGTATATGTATGTTCCTCTTCGACAACAAAATGCCCGTCGCTGGTGTAACAACTTTGTTATTATAGACTTCTTACTTCAGAATATTATTATATTATAAGCCTGTAATATTGTATGTAGTTGCAAATTTCGAAACTTCAACGCACAGCGATAAAGAATAAAGTATTGTTGTTTACAATGAGACGTTACCTTTTTCAGATTTACACATTATAAAGAATCTTCTTCTTATAATTTTACTTACTTGTCATTAATGTAATATAGTTGTTTAACATATTACTAGGTATTTTTAAATTATTATTAATATATTTTTAGTATAGTATGTTTATTTATTTGTTGTACTTGATATTTATTTTATAGATGACATGCAGCTTCATCGCTCGCAGTACACTGGTAATACACTATGCTGATTTGTCAACTGTTACGAAGTACAAACAAAACTTTTATTTAAGTCACAAATATCATAAATTCTAAAATATGCCATTATCATAAACAAACTACTAAAATAACGGAAAACTTACCCAAAAGCGATTTTCAAATGAGTTAAACTTTAATACATTATATTTGGAATGCAATGAATTTAAATGATACCAAACGACATATTTTATATTATGTCTAATTATTGTTTACATTCAAAAAAGTATAATTTTATAAATATATGTATATAATATATAGGTGTATATATTTTTTTTTGCTGGTAAAATTGTATAGAATTAAAATCCTCTAAATTTAAAAACATGACTCATCGAACCTTTTTACTTTTAATAAAAAAAAAAACATAAATATATTTGTAAAATATTGATAAGATATCAGAAATAAACTCAACGCTGCTTTTACTGTTATATTTTACTCTTGTAGCAACTCTTTTAAATGTGTTTTTTAAATATAACGCTGGCGACGAAGCGATGTATGTTATCCTCGTTTTGAGTTTGGTCACAGAATCTTCAGATTATTCGACTTAAAACAAGTTTTGACTATAGTAAAGCTTAGCGCGTGTGTGTATAAAGTCTATTTTGGACCTAATGCGTGCAAAGAATACAAAAATGTAGTCGTTTTAAATTGAATTTTCGAACTCTAAACGTTCGAATTGTTCCAGAATATTAACTCGGTCAGTTAGCGTTAAAGAGAGTTTAGTATAGGTTTTAAGCTCAAAACTTAAACCATATTCACCAACCGCAACTTTTAACGGTTTCCATCGTACCCACCTACAGTCATAGCTTTGGTACCTATTGCTTTTGCGGTGTAGCACCACGACCGTTGTGTATTATTATTATCATCGCCGTAGGTAAACGTGATTCCAAGGTTAAACAATGGCCGGGAATAAAAAAAAGAAGGGTTAAAAACCCTATAGCCATTTCCTAGCGCAATGTCCACTAGGAGGGGTTGATCCCGGTCCCGTGTGTGTTTGTATGGGACATAGAATATAATTTCTGTCGAGCCCGCGACCGCCGTGCATACACGCACTTCTGTTGACTGACAGCCTTTGCATCCGCCGAAAGAAAGACAGACACGACCGAGTGGGGTCGGTCTAACAAATAAAATAACAAAAATATATATATATAAATATAACCTCCATGTTTTATTCATGCACGCTCGTTTTCCTATACATATAACACACGCACACGTGACTCTGTGTCCACGAGAAAATACCATATGATTTGTACAAAAGGTTATATTATTATGACGCAAATCGTAATTTAAAAAAAAAATAATAAACAGAAGTATTTTTCGAAATAAAAAATAAATTATTTATTTTCAACATTGCGATACAATAATATAATACATTTCTATACATTAATTAATATCGTTTTTTTTTTATATACATATAAATATGGGATGTACACAAATATAATACACAATAATAATAATATGACCTTAGTAATAAAATAATAATAAAATAGAATCGAAGTTAACAAACATATCGAATAAAAAAAAAAAATAATAATAATAGTAATAATAAAAAAACATATCGTGGTTAATAATATAAAATATCGTACAGTCTTCGTTCAAGTATGGTGGTGAGACATTATTTTCATTTTTTAATTCCCCCCTCCCTCCCTAATTAAATGTCATACTATATCAATTTTGTTTAACATCAAAACCAGGCGGTCCAATCGGCTTTACCCTGTTAACACACTCGACTCGAAATAATTAATTAAAAAACCTCTAGTGATGTGCATTTGTTATAATGGTTTTAAAAAGTTGTTTTACAATTTTTTTTCTTTTGTCGTTCTTGTTATTTTTATCTTCGTAGATAAGTTAGCTATTTTTTTTTAAGACCAAACAAAAAATATTATTACATTGTCTTTCTCAAATAAAAAGCCGAATCAATTTCAGATAACGCGGACGCGGCAACAGTATATTTATGTGTGTATACGCTAAGTGGTAATCCGTGTACCGAATAAAAGAACCAAGATATATATTTTATTATATTATATATATATTTTTTTTTTATCCCTCCTTCCTCTCTCTTTTTCACTTGCTATGTCTTGTGCCGTAGGAAAGCGCGTTCGGACACATACGAATAATAACAAAACGAAAAATAAACGCTCTAGGAGAGTGCAACAACAGGGAGAAGGATATAATATAATAAAATAATATATTGTCTGACGAGAAGCCTAGAACCGGTATTATTATTATTACGGTGTACGCGATGAGGTAAAAAAAAAACACAAACACCCACTGAGGTTTTTAATTATCCCACATCACGTGTCATAAATTTAAAGTAATATTTTATTATTATTGCCCTGCGCACGGAGGAAAAAAAGATGAAATAATAGCTCGAAGTGTGTCATTTCTTTTATAAATTATAAAAAAAGCCGTTTTGGGGCAAAACAACAGTGATACGAAGACTAAATCAGTCTAGGCCTTAAACCAAGGCAAAACATAATACATTATTATTATTATTATTATTATTATTTTAGAATATAACACAAAATTTGATTGCTCAAAAACATTTAAAACATTTTTTTTGTCTTTTTGAGCTGACTAGAAAAATGGCGTTAAATTCTTAAAATAGTTAGTACGAACCGTTTTTTTTATATTTTAACATTTCCATAATAATATACTAAATTAAACTGCCTGCAATCACATTTACACGTAAACGGGACCACAGTCCGTCCGGATAGTTAAACAAAAAAGTTTACAAGAAAGTTATAAAGGGAATTAACCGCAGTGTGCGTTCCGCCAGACACACACACTTAGGAACTCGATTAATTTAGATTATCATACAAAGTCGTGCTTAATACAACATTATCACATATTGATGAGCACACACGTACATGCATTATTCAATATTTTTTTTTCGTATAAACAAAAAAAGGTCCTAGACAATATTTCAAAAGAAACTGACCTGTCGTTTGTCTCAACAAAACTAAAAAAAAAATTGTTTTATACGAGATAAGCCTGTACAGTGTTTTGCTGGTGCTGTTGATGGTGTTTGGCCGACCTCCGGCTGTTGGTGCGTTCGAACGGTATCCGGCTTGGCGATTGGTGCACTGATGGCGGCGGCGTGTCGATGGCTGAGTAAATATGTTCGGTGGACGCCGGCCGGTCGTCGCCACCCAACTTGGGCGACGGGGTGGCCGTGGTGGCGGTCGAATAGTTGGAGTCCTCGTGCCGGTGTTGCGGCCGGGGTAACGAGTTGGGGCTGTGGTGATGAACGTGGTGCCGGTGGTGAGACGGTTTGTCCTGCGGCGAAGGCTGTCGCCTGGGCGCAGGCACCACCGGGGTCCTGGTGTCGATGGTGTAGTTGTTTATATTGTTACGATAATTGCAAACTTTATGATGATGGTGGTTGCTGTTGTGGTTGTTGCTGGGCATCAGGTACCGGAGCCGCTCCCAAAATCGTTTTTCGCCCCACCGGACTTTAGACGCCACCTTTAAGTACGGTCTGATCTCCGGGTCGGCGTCCGCCTCGGCCGAGATGCTGTTCTCCTCGATCAGCACCAGCTTGTAAACTTTGCCCTTGAGCGCCTCGTGTAGGGCCGACCGGAACTCGTACCTGGACCATTCGGTCTGTATGAAGTTACGGGACAGCACCACGATGACGCGACGGCTGGCTTCGGCCGCCTCGATCACCACAGGCGACGATCCCGCGTGGTACATGGACGTGATCGGCAAGTCCCGGTAGTGCAGGCAAAGCTGGTACGACGGGTTCCCGTGCTCGAGCTCGGCCACCACGGACTGCAGGACAAATTCCTCGTCTTTGGGGCTGTACAACACGTAGCCGTCGTACAGTTTTTCGCGGTCCTCGTAGAAATGCTTATTGCCCGAATGCTTGCAGCTGAACACCCGGATGCCGTACTTGGTGTACAGCCATACTTTGATGTTATCGCGGACGGCGAACAGTACGAGAGCCACGACGAACACGATCAACAGGAACGTCAACAGCGGTACGTAGCTGTTGGCCACCATGTTGCGCAGGGCCCAGCCGCCGGTGTAAAAATCACTGCAGGCCGTGTCGTTGAAGTCGATTTCGCGCCTCTGTCCGGGGTCCGACTCGTCCGGCACGCAAGTCACATCGGACACGTCGGCGATTTTCGGTCCGTTTTCGTAGATCCAATTGCGGAACGGCTGTAAGAATTTACAGCGACAGGACCACGGGTTTTTGCCGATCGACAGCTGCACCAAGTACGGGTTGACGGATAGTTGCCACACGGGGAAACTGGTCAGTCGGTTACCGTGCAAACGGAGCACCTCGAGGTTTCGGAGCGGCGCGAACGTCATGTTGTTGACGTGCACCAGACGGTTGTTTTGCAAGTGCAATTGCCTGAGCTGGTAAAGCTGCTCGAACTCGTAGCCCTTGAGCTCGGTCAACAAGTTGTCCTCCAAGTGCAGCACCTGGAGCGAGCTCAAACGGTTGAACGTGTGATTCTGGAGCGATTCGATTTTCGAGTGGTTCAGGTACAGGTGCACCATATTTTTCCGGCCGATAAATATGTGCCCCTGCAGCTGACTGAAATTGTTACCGTCCAAGTACACGTGCGTAGCGTCCATCGGGATTTTCGGCGGCACCTGGTTGTTCAGCTGGTACGAACAGTCTACGATGTTAGTCCTCCACGTCTGATCGTGATAACACGTGCAATTAGTCGGGCACGTCATTTCACAGTCGCACGCGTCGAACTCGCAGCACTTGCACACGGTAAAGCAATGGGTTTCGTACTTGCACAAAAATTGCGACGGGCCGGCCGACAGAATGGGTACGATTTCGGAGCCGCGGCTGTCGGTTGTTTTGCATACCACGTTGTCCAAGTCCATGACTTTGGGGTGCTGCCGGAGCTGCGTCATGTTGTTGACGGTGGGCAGCCAATCCATGGAGCAGTCGCACTCGAACGGGTTGCCGCCTATGTAGAACTCGGGCAGCGACCGGTTGATGGGTACGACGCCCAAACGGAGAGCGTTCACGTCTAGCCGGGTCAGCTCGTTGGCGTACAAGTCCACGCGCACTAAGTTTCTCTTTTTCAAAAATGTGTTGGGCCTGATGTTGGTAAGGAAATTATTATTGAGGAACAACACTTCGACGCTATTCGGTATGGAACGGTCGGAAATTTCGGTTATATGATTGTGGCTGGCGTCAATTGTGTTAATGTTGAGACGGTCTTTGAGATTATAATAATCGCCAAGTTCCTGCACGTAATTGTCGTGCAGGTCCAGCCACTTGAGGTTAGCCGGCACCATGGCGTAGTCGAACCATATCAGATTGTTTTTTGACAAGTTTATCCATTGCAAACTCGACAGCGACTCGAACACGCCGTTGACGTCCGTTAGGTAATTGGCGTCAAGCCGGATGGCTTGAATTTGCGAGTTTTGGGTGAAAGTGCCGCGCTCGATGGTGTAGATTTTATTTTTCGAAAGGTTGAGCACTTGCAAATTGGGCAGGTTAGAGAACATACCTATGGTAAGATTGCCGATATTGTTGTCGACGAGCCGGAGCCCGGTTAACAATTCCATATTTTTAAACGAATTGTTGTTAAACACGCTGATTTGATTTTCACCCAAGTCCAACGTTTTCAAGAATGACAGCTCGTTGAGCGCCGACGGCACCTGTTGAATGGCGTTCGAACTGAGATCTAGTTCTTTGAGAGCGGAACAGTTTTTGAACGCCTGTTCGTCGATGGACACCAACAAGTTGTTGTTGATGGTCAACTTGGACAGCACGTACAGGCCGTTGAACAACCGCGAGCCGATCGTGTGCAAACGGTTTTCGGCCAAGTTGAGAGTGTGTAGGTTGTACAGCGGTAAAAACGCATTTTCCTCGATACTACTAATACTGTTGTTGCTCAAGTCCAAAATTTGCAAAAATACGAGGTCCTTAAAGTAGTTAGATTTTATCCGGGTCAACCCGTTGCGAGACAAGTCCAAGACGACCAGGCGGATGAGACCCACGAACGGACCGTCGTCGATCTGGTTGATCTTGTTGTTGCTCAAGTTGATGATGACCATTTGTTCCAGCCGGTGGAACAGACCGCGAGGTAGCTCGTACAGCCCGTTGTTCTGCAGGTACACTTCACGCAGATCGCGGTTTTTGGCAAACAGATTTTCCGGTAACGCTTCCAACTTGTTATAAGACGCGTTGAACACTTTCAGCGAAGAGAGCGTGGACAGGCTGTCGGCGGCCACGTCGTTAATGCTGTTGTGCTGCAAACATAACGTCTGAAGCCGATTCATGGCGGATATCGCGGTGCGGGCCGGTAGTGTCTGCAGGTTGTTCCACGACAAGTCCAACACTTTCAGGTCGGCACCGCCAGGACAGTCTGGTCCAGAGAAACCGAGGGCGGTCAAGTCGTCGATGCTGTTGTGCGACACGTTCAAGTTTTGAATATTTTTCAACGAGCAAAACGCGTCGGCGGGCACTTGATGGACGTTAGACTCGGACAGGTCTAGAGACTGGAGTTCTCCGAGCCGGTCCAGGCCGCCCTGAGCAACCACCAGATTTTTGGTGGCACCCCATTCCAGATTACCGGTATTCACCGTCAGCTTCTTAAGGCCACCGAGCCCGTCGAACGCGTCAGTAGGTATTTCCAACAGTTTACACTTGACCAGCGCCAGTTCCTCGAGTTGGTACAACGAGCGGAACGCCCGCGGCCCCAGCGTGCTCTCGAAGAACAGCTTATCGCTACAGTCGACCGTCAGCCGAACGACGGCGCCTTCGGACTGCACGGCCGCCGACAGATTCGGGCTGTCCGCGGCCAACGTCCGGACGCGGCACTGTACCGACGTTTTGGCAGTGTCGTTGTTATACGGCGACCTCGTACACTGTTCCGCACTGTCCGACTTGGCGGCCGCCGCGGCGCACAACACGGCCACCAACAACAATTTCATTTTGAAAAACATTTTCGCGGCGATCGCGGGTCGTCAAACGGATTTCACGCGCGACAATATTTTTTTAAGTGCACTGATCGCGAGAACTTCATGTGTTCGTCAGAGTACCCGACAACCGCGCGATTCCACCAGTCGGGTCGACATCGTAACTGTTTTTTTTTTTTAATTTATTTTTAACGCACTGCAAATAATAAACAAAACAAAAATTATAATACTATTTATTTGTTGTCGTATATGATATAGTAGTAGAAACCGTAAAACACTTTAACGTCCGCGGACACTTTCACATTAATCGGATACGGACGAACTGTCGAGAACGGCTTCGCGGCGGTGACTGAATGAGAGAGGCACGGTCGTACTGGCCGACGGGCCGAATGGTCCGGCCGTTGCTACAGTCCGCCGTCAGACCGCAGCACGTGACGGCGTCCTTACCTCCAAGGATCGCCCCACTGCAACGCGGCGTGCACCCGGTTTCGGTTACCCTGTGATTATCGTTGGCCGCCGCCTTCGCCACCACACGGCGTACGGTAGTCCGGCCGGCGTTTTTCTTCACGTTTGCCGCCTCCACACGTTGTACGACAATGCAGTTCTTACCTTATCCGATTGCTCTTGACCGGCAATCGAACCGTGGTGGACAATTATGTCAAAAAATAATATTTTTTAAGTATTTTGTACTGAAAACTGGAAAGATTTTGTATATTTTTTATTTTAAAATTCACAGATAATTACACCGTTGTCTGTAATATTTTGAATGATTACAAACTTACCTGATATTAATTAAAAATATAGTATTTTTATAGGGAGTTTTCATGTAAAGTTTATGTAAAACATAGTTTACAACATTCGACCATAAAATTCCGCGTTAAAAACAGGTGGGTCATTATTAATATTTTAACACACAAAACCCATATTTAAGCCATATTTTCTCTTTAACATGCGCTCTAAACATTTGAGATACAAATAATGAAAATAATAAAAAAATAAACGTTTTTATTACGTTTACTTTTTTATGAAATTTCTCAATCAATTAAGCTATTAAAATATCATACTGTTAATAATTTTAATCTAAATGTGTTGTAATTATAACATATAAAGTATACAACGATAGTAAAATATAAAATCTGAGTGCACATTTGCTTACAACTAATCAACGTTAATAAACTTTTAACGATACGTTTAGACAATGATTGACATAAACTATACTGAATCGTTTCATAAATAAAACTTGTTCGCATTTATTTCAAAAATAGAAAACAAAATATTTAACTTTATTCTTTAAAATAATATTATAAAAACGGGCATTTCTCATTACTGATAGCGCCATCTATCGGATAATTGGCTAAATATGTTATATACAGAAATGTTTACCATATTCTACAGTTCTACAGCGACATTAAAAAAGTTTTTTAAGATTTGCCTATTTTATTTAAAATAAAATATATCTGGTTTATTAGTCATTATTCATGATATATATTTAAATACAGTATTCTTTTAAGATAATAGTATTAAATTTATAAATAATAAATGTAAAAATTATCTTTTAATTTCAATATAGTTTCTCGTCAAAATATCATATTTGATTTCATTATTTATTATAATTTGACTAAACCAGTTTAGGAAATATTAAAATATAGTTTTAATTGTTTTTTATAGTTGTATTTAACTAAACTACAATTATTTCGCTTAAAATATTGGTAAATTAGATAAAGAGTATATTAGTTAGTTGTGTATTATACCACGATATAAAAATAATATAAGATAATATGTAATTGTACATTTTTGTGTCTAATACTGTAATACTGTAAAAAGAGTGGTTTTTAACATGTTATTCCTCCGTATTCTGTATTTTGTTTTCTTTCCACACTTAAAATATATTATTGGGATTTTGTTTCGATTTTCTTCGTTCGACTTAAAGTTTAGCATCCATAGAATCTGTAGTCTCTTAATTGAATTAGCTCTAGGTATGCTGTAATGTATGTTTGGCCGTACTGACAAAGTGTAATTATTATTTTAGTGTGGGTTTGGCCGTATACTGGCTGTAACGAATTCAATGCAAGTCGAGCTGCACCGGTCACCTTGGAACGTGTAATTAGCGTATAGGCCAGGCCGCACAGGTCAAAGTAATGCTTTTAAGTCTCTCGACCGTTAGGGCGCTAATGTTTGAGCAACAAGTGTGTTTAAATCATTGTAGTGCGCATTCGATGTGTATTATAAATTATACTGTTAAGATGTATTCTCTATAGCTGAAAGTATATCATCTCTTTTTTGTTCATGTCAACGTTGGACGATCTTAGTGGTTTTTACGGTCTTACACTAAATGCAAAATGCTAAACACACAACACTTCGAAATACTCATACTATGGGAAGATAATAATCCGATGGTCATTAGGCTGGAGTAGCAAAATATAAATAAGTCTTAAGAGCTAAGCCAACTTTTACCACGTGACTCGGTTGTGCGGATAAGAAATCATCTAAAATTATTCATGCATTGATAAAATGTTTTAAGATTATTTTTCCAAGTAGATTTCTTATTTTTATTACCAAAAAATGTATTCGTACCAGAATGTAATATATGTTTCTAACTTTATTTTAATTCTCGTGCACTTAACATATTCTTAACACTGTAAATTTGAAATCTAGTTTTTTGTTTTATAAGGTTTTTTTTTTGTAATAAGAAAATCGTAGTCACTTTGTTTGTCCTTTAATTGGCAAATACAAATAAATACACGCTATTGTATAGTACGTCATACTTGCATACTATGTACATGGAGTATAAAACTTTTCTTTAAAACTGTGATGTCGTACCATATTAAAAGTTAAAACTGCTCATATTTTTGTGCCGTTCTGTGATTATGGCTTATTTGGCAATGTTATTTTTGGTATAATATCACGACACACTTTTGGTTATATTACTCCAACATACACTTCTACGAGGTAATTTAATCAGTTTCTCGAATGATTCTAAACTCGTTCGAATCTGGCTTATTCAAAATCTGTTGACCGAAACGACTTGTATCTGTTTCATTTGGAAAATGTAATTAAACATCCCCCCCTCGCCTAATACCGAAAACTTAAGTGACTTCACCGCCAACGCGGTTTGACCACAATATCTGAAGGGCTGTCGTTGTGGGCAGAGTATCACTCACCTTAATTTTAAAACTATACTATGCATTAGTAATTATTATTAAATATCGGTCAGTTACATAGCGGGTAAAACTATGCACTTTTCTGAAATGCCACGTGGGTACAATTTAAATTAGAACGATTTGACGGTTTTCTCCGTATTACTAAACTACTAGTAATGCAGATCGCAGTTATCTAATATTTTATTTATTTGAAAAGAAAAAGTTATGAAACACAGCCTATATTTGAAGTATACTATTAAAGAAAACTACTGGAGTATTTTGTGTAAAGTATTTTTAAAATTGTTTTAGACTACTTTATAACACCGTTGTCTATGACCGTGCGTTTATTCTTGTACGTGGGAATTTAAAAAAAAAAGAGAACAAAATATACCGAAATCGTCAAACCTCGGTACTGCCTTTAACGCGGATTTTGGTATTGTTGTGGGTAAAAACGTTTAACACGATACATTGTGTTCAACAGTACGACGGAGGAAAAAGAGACGACGCGTTATTTTACCTACCGTGTGTATACAAGTCCAAAAATAATAATATAACATAAATTGGCCGAAGACCGTAAACGGTAAAAACGGGTAAGGGACACGGCGAGAATGAACGCGTTGGAAATAGAAAGGGATTATTTTTTTTTCCGGTCTACTGAACCATATTATACCCTCTGCGACCGCCCCCACCCCCGTCGAACCTTGTGTTATACACACACGCGTTCCTTTACTTATACTGGCATTGTTGTTCTATCAAAATGTGTGTTGTCAAAAACCTAAAATAGGGATGTCAAAAATTTGAAACCCGCGGCGAGAGTAGGTTGACATGGGGATTGGTCGAAAAATATTAGCTATAATAAAAATTCACAAATACTATAATAATATACTAATAAAACCAGATTTTCTGTCAAATCTGGGCATGAGCCTAAACGTTAACGAGATCAACCAGCACGGCAATGTATCCGTTTAGCATTCAAATTTAAATCACATTTGGTTATAAATATTGTGTTACGGTTTCAATGTTATAGTTTGTTTTCAGACCCCACATTGTACGTGATAGCGGTGCAATAGGTTCGGCCTGGTAGATAGAATAAGAAAAGACGACTATCAGCTGTATCATGGTATAATATATCATATATTAGTAATTACATATCCGTATTAAATAGAATTTCGTACACGACGACGGCGGGGTCACGCCGAATCAGATGAACCTCGTGTAATATTAATAGTACCTAATAATATTATCTATATAAGATACACGCATTATATCTATCAAACGCGTGTGTCACACACACTTGGGTAGGTCTATCTGGTCCAAAATCTCTTTGGGCCCGTCGTCGTTTAAAAACATCTTCAACGCGGCGGCGATTTGTTTCGAAAAAAAGAAATAATAATAATAATATAATGGTAATATTTATAAGAATGCGTTTTAGGCGCAATGGCCACGACGACGGCGAGAGGGGGAACGGGTTTTTTTTTTTTTTGGTGGCCGCCGGCTAATGAAGTCCATAAAGACTTGGTAGACCGATAGAAGAAAGAGAGAGAGAGAACCGTCGACGATGAAATTACAAAGCAACTGCTTATGTGCGAGGACGTGGGAGGAGACGATGGTGGCGGTGGCTGTGGTGAGCACCGAATGCAGTAACTACACAGGGAGACGGAGAGAGAGATACCTCGGATCACAGCTACACATGCATACACACACTCTGCGCTATAGCCCCCCTTTTGAACCCGCGATAAATCTAAAAACTGAAGATGTGATCCTGTCGAACCTTTGCCCATAAATCATACACGCCGCCGTCGCTGTCAGCCGGACACGACGAGCACGGTATACGTACATGATAGAAGATGTTGGTCGGAGAAGGTAAAACGGGGCCCGGGCTCTGAGCAAACGTCGGTTTTGACCATAATATTCTCGTCAAATTAACTTTTACGACTTAAGCTGAAGGTGTACGCGTCGCTTGCTGCTGTTGTTGCTAACACCGCACAAACGATCGGAGGACGTCACACGCCCATTTGGCGATATCCTTTTACTGTACCATCGCACTCGACCGGACCCACACTGATAATGATGATAATAATAATTATCGTTATTACCGAGTACACATATTGGTACACCTATGTGTAGTCGAAACGGGTCAAACGACTCCCGTTGAACGAGTAAAAAGCCCATCGAGAATTTAACTGTCAGTCTATTCCTAAAGTTGATTAAAAC